TCTCGCAGCTGGGCACGCACACGCCACACGTGGCCTTGGCAGCAGCGCAGGTGAGCCCCGGTGCCCTGCAGGCGCCCGGCGCTGGGAAGCACCCTTTGCTCCGCTCGCCCAGCCTCTGCGACCAGCTCAGCCGCCCAACCGGCCAGACAGGTCCTGCAGCAGAAGTGTATGAGCCCCACGCGGCCCCCGCGACATGCTGCTCTGGGGAGCCAGCGCTAGAGCAGAGGGTGCTGGGTGCTGCCCAGGGCCTCCTGCCTGGGCTGGGGCCAAGGCGTGGGACACAGGCTTCCTAGCTGGTTCTCCATCTCCATAAGGGCTCAGAGGACCTCCGTGAGCCTCACCTGGCGGCCTAGAGGACAGAGCGTGTGCGTTTCTGTGCGTGGTCCTCAGGGTGCCCCTCTCCCTTTGAGAAGGCAATCACCCCCGCATTGCTCTGCGTTGCTTTAGGCTGGTGGCTCTTATCGAGGAGAGCTCTGGCTGTATCCCAGGGCTGTGAAATTACGGTGGTACCGTGAGGTCGACTCCTCTCAGAAGAGCACGTTGATCTCAACAGACGGTATAGGAAGAGACCATTTTGATGCTCCTCTTCTTTCAATTTGCTTTGACAATTTATGTTTGTGCATTTATGCTATATTAATGTTAAGTTATGCTGGGCGCTGTGTTTCAGCTGAAGTGAAGCCCTTGGTTCTGAGCACTAAGCGATGAGTCACTAGCAGCAGAAAAGCTATTCCAGTGATTAAAATGTCTTTAAGTTTCATGACGTGTTGGCAGGAAAACAAGACTGCTTTGTTAAGAAGCAGATGCTGCACCAGAGCTGAATTTTCCTATGGAAAAAAAAATTGTAACAAGGAAATATAATGACTTCAGCTTCACTCCATACCCTGCCAACCACCTCATGTACCTGTGGCAGGACTTCTGGCAGGAAACTCTCATTAATATCAGGGACTGAAGGTTAGATTGGGCATTTTGCTACTGCTGCTCAAGAAAACACCTGTATTCACAATAATGTACAGAACGCACAAAGGTGGCTCAAAACTGCATTTGTCTACTTGGAGTCTCTCTGCCTCCAACTTCTTGCGAAGATATTCAGCCGTAAGTTAACAAAGCTTCTGCCAAACATCAAAAATGTTATCAGACCAATAGAAATGGAAAAAAAAAAAACATATAATTTTATCTCATGTTCTCTCCCAGCCTTGCTGGAGTTTAAGAGTTCAGATAAACCAGGTTTACATCCTGGTTTACATGGTTTTGCTTGTCTCTCTCCAGGATCAGACCAGCTGGAAAGCCACATCGAGTTCCTTTGCAATCTGCTGTGCTGCAGCATTTGGGTTGAGGCTGCATTGTGTACATGGCTGGATTCTGTCCTCTAGACACAGAAGTGCGTAAATGATTTTTAGAAGGGATTGTGCTCTTTTGGGGTTTAATCTCAATCTGAAGGACCAGGAGTTGACTGAGTTATGTTCATGTAGCTAGCTGTTGAGGACCTGGTTACGTATTTGCCTGGAAAACAACTGAAGACTGTGCTCTTACACCAAAGATTGGTGCCAAATCTAGGATGATATCATACTTATTCAAATACTGATAAAGGAACATGTACAATATCAACAAAGAAAGTAAGTTAACTTTGGGATGTTTATTCTCTGATAAACTTCTGCAAGTTTTTTCTCAGTTCTTCTTGTCATGCCTTAAAATATATTTCTTAACTTGAAACTATTTCTCAGTTGATATGGATGGGGAGAGCCCCTCCCATGCTGACTTTTCCATTTGCCTTATATCTGCTGACAAATTCATTTCTTATTAATTTCCGTTAGAAATGTAACAATCGAAGACCTCTACAGGGAGTGTAGGACTTGGCTGGAGGCAATGTTCTTCTCTCCTTTGGCTGTGATTTCTTATTGTTTCTTTTTTCCTTTTACCTCATACACAGTTTTGCAATAAAAAATTAGAAACATGAACAGTCTTTGTCTAAGAAGAGATATAGGTCAACTGTATTAATGACATACAGACAAAAACATACATAACCAATATATTAAATGCAGATGTACACAGCAGTTTACCTACATGTCTAGGAACAACATTTTGCTCAGAATCACAGCATACAAAGTAAACCTTGCCACGTTTCAGTTACTTTGTGTACAGAGTGTATATCTAAATATATGCATACTTACAAAACCACAGAATTAAAAATTGAAAATATATACAACAAATTTCACAAATCTAAGATGTGTTATATCCCATAAATGGGATATATTTGCAAAGATATATGACTGTGACTATATTGACTTATTTCCAATGTATGGGACTTCACAGACTAATATCCTGAAAGCACGTAGGAAATGCGCAAGTGTAGGGGTACATTTCCCCAGCAGTCCTTTTTCCCCAGCAGGAACCTTTGCATAACATTTTGTCCATCTAGGCCATTTAACTATTTATCTATTTAAGATGACTTATTGAAAGCTGCATGGTGGCAGAGTTAATGCCATCAAGATAAAACACACACGGGGACCACTATTCTGGAAAAAATGTTGCTCCGGACTTTGGGGGACACCTTCAAGAGGTAGCAGTCCTGTGGTTTCCTAAGTAAAATATTTCCTAGCTTTATCTTCTCTTTGACCCCAGCCGGAGTTTGGTTCTGAGCTGTTGCAGGGTGAATGTCGTGTGCAGATTTGGCATTTTTCCAGTCCTACCTAAACTGAATTTACTACCTGCAGGTTGCATCACTGTAAATGCTTACCTGGGGCATCTGAAAACAAGTTTTATTTCAGTGAACTATTTGTAGGCAAGATGTGGTCAGTTGTTTTAAGTTTTTTTTTTTTTAATACAAACGCAGAGGGACTGTTGTGATCTTTTCCTCTGTTTTCCTTATAACACAGCTTGTAAGACTTTGCTTAATTAATTCCTGCTTGAGCTAGGATATGTCTTTTAGACAAACATCTGGTCTTGATTACTATGTTGTGCCTGTTTTGATCTCTTCTCTTAAAGACCAGATGTTGATCAAATTCAGTGACCTGTATTTAAAAGCTCTCGGTTCAATGACTGACCAGCAATCTCAGACCTAGGCTAAAGATAAAATCTGACTCTTGTTCACATGTAAATTGCTGAGTTGCAGCCACACTTTCTGAAATTGTTTATGAACAGAATCAATTTATGCAATCAGCTCCAGTTTATAAGGGCTGGGTGGTTCAACTCTTCGAGTGCTGGCCAGCAGCATGTCAAGTTTTCTTAATTGCATTGGTTTGGCAGACAATAGGATTTTCTTGGACTGCTTTATAAGGCCTGACTACAGCAATACCTTAATTAGCACTAATTTAAAGTCAACTCAGCCACTACAGTTTCACCAAAACTTAATTTCTGTGGACCCCTTTATATCCATAGTATACTAAATCCTAAAGGAATGCATTTAGATTGGGACTCTGGGTTCGCCATGGTAGTAATAGTAACAATGAATACTCTATCCTTAAGTATTCATTTTCAGCAGTAGATCTCAATTTTTATTATTGTTTCAATTCTGCTGGTATGGGAAGTGAGACAGACACCATTACTTTAAACTGTGGCCATGTGGCGGGCGCATGATCAGGGACAGGAACCAGAATCTCCTGCTTCGGGACGCCAGAAAGCTGCAAGTTGAAAGGAGTTGCCCAAGGACACAATGAGCCTTCTGCCGGTCTCGGGAGGAGACCCCACCAACTTGTCGTCCTCTGTGTCCTGCTCACAGAGCTGCATGGAGCAGCCCCGATCCCAGCAGTACTTGCCCAGAAGCACGCCATCCATGGGCTCACACCTTCGCAGAGCTACTCCCGAGGGATGCTAACAGAAGACCTGCTCCATCCAGGAGATACAGGTTGCTCCTCCACCTACCCCAGCCCTGCTATACATGCTGGTATGAGAATGAGGAGGGTCAAGAGGTAGAGGCCAACTCTCTGCTTCCTTTCTCTGGCCCTTGTATGATGGCTTGCTCCTCACAAGGGAGCAGGAGCTAGCAGCTGCTGTCCTACTCTCTTTGCAGGGTCTGCTAATGGTGAAGATCTTTCTGCCACATCTCTGCCTTTGTGAATGGATTTGCAGGGCAGATTGTTCAGTATCTGAATTTCCTTTTTTACTTAAAAAGCCAGAGGCCTAAGCTGAGATAGACTCCCTCGGCAGCTGAGCAGTAGGTAATGGGTACCTTTCTCTTAGCATGTGCTTCTTTATACAGCCAATACACAGTGAACTGGGTCATTTTTGATACATCTAAACTGTCCTGACAGGGCACTCTGGGAACGAAGCCCACTGAAGCATGGTCCCAGGCAGGGGCCCGGGCGCCCCTTCCCAAGCGCACAGGCCCCGTGGGCCGGTGCAGGCAGTCACGGTGAGCCTGACGGCGGGTGCTCCAGCTCTTGGCCCAGTGCCCCGCAGCCATGATGGGCTGGCTGCAAGGTGGCCATGTGTGCAGGAAAGAGGAAAACTGGGAAACACATGTACACAGCCACCCTCATGGCTTCCCATCCCATCCCAACGGGCTCATGGGAATATGCTAAGTATTAACCCTTCATATCAGAACATAAAATTCTCAGAGAATCAGGGTGTGTCTCAAGAGAACTATGGCTAAACTGTATCCTTTTCTCCTAGTGGAAGGAAAAAATTTGATTTCCTCACACATATGATTTGTTTCACTTTGAGTTTGGCCACTCTCATGAAAGATTATATAGGATAGAGGGGCTTGCTTTTTATTGTTATCTAATTTACTGACAGTATCCTTCCTGCCTTCATCCTGTGCTGACTCCTTAGCCAGGAAAATATGCCTCAGGCTGTATACACTGAACCCATGTACTTCATTTGCACCACATCAGCATTGTAGTAAGTAAATATATTACGATGTAATCAGTTTAGGATTATGTCTGAGGCTTTGCATGTTCCTCTTCTGCCATGTGCAGTGCAGTTCGGTGATGGCAGACAGGACGGTCTGGGCTGTGCCCACTCTTGGTTTTCGTGTGAATTCTCTCAGAACTGATGGAAGTACAAATGTTGTCCAGGTCTTCAGCGTCCCTGGAGGTTTTGTATTTGCTACACTTCTCTCAACCATGTTTAATAGTCTTAAATTATATCTCAGTCTTTGAAAAAGAAATCCCCCTACTAATCCTTTTGAGAACATTATGTTTGCCCTCTGATACACACACTGGACTGTCAGCTTGGAAAATGCCAGCGTCCTAATGACTGAAGGATTATGAATCCATTGCTAAGCATTTGCAGAAGTGCTCTTGTGCTATAAAAGTGTCTCTTCATTCACCCGTAGGCTGTGCGCCAGAATGGCTTGGCTTTGCTTTGTGGGTCTCTGGCCTTGGGCACTGAACAAGTGAGACTCTCACAGCTCTCATAAAACCCTGTTAGATCACCCTCTGAACGCGCCCAACCTCGTTGCTGCGCGTGCACTGGGGGTTTCATTCTTTGAAACAAAGCACCATTAGATGGCTCAGCCTGACGTGTTGGGCTGCTCCATTTCAAGTTCACTCAATTTTCATTTTAATATAATTTAACAGGTGAAATTGTCTCTATTAAAGTTAATAAGAGCCTTGTTAATGACTTCAGCACAGCCAGGATTTGGCAAAATAGCTTTCATTAATGTATTACTTATAAATTACTAGCAGTTTATGTATTTGAAATAAGCTCCATATTAAATAAGACGGATTACATATGTTACTTTACGCTGTATATATTTTATGAAGCTGAAAAGTCTGAAACGAAATCGTGGCACTGCTGAAGCAGATGGAGGAACTCGCGCTGACACCGGCAGGCCAAGGTTTCACTTGCTTTCCCTAATCTGCCAAGAATTTCCTATGACTCTTTGAACAAAACACCTAGACAAACTCTGCGTCTCGGTATTGCCTACTAAGTAAGCCTGGAGATAATTTTTCTCCAGGTCTCAGGGGTATGGTGGGGCCATTAATATCTATAAAATGCTTTGAGATGCAAAGTACTATAGCAGAACTAATGATTATTGATTATTATTTTCATGCTGCAAACGTGTTATCTGACAGGTAGGAATTGCAGTGTCTGCTATGAAGACGACTCAACAGTTACCATCATAAAACCCTGTTTTCCGTTATTTCAGATTGCCAGCACTTTGTTAAAATGAAGGCAGATGTCTAGCCCTGGGCATCAAACTTTTAACTTGGATGGCTCAGCGCGGCCCCGCGGGGGACCCGGCCGAGGGCAGGGTGTCCTCAGCCAGGCCGGCC